TGACTTGCCCAAGGTCATACAGCTAGCAAGTGTCTGAGCCCATATTTGAACTCAGGTCTTCCTGACTCCAGGGCTGGTGCTCTATCCTCTGCACTGCCTAGCTGCCTCCGACTTCAATTCAATTCTACAAGCATTTATTAAGCACTTGCTGTGTGCAAGAAACTTGGTTGTGCTCTCAGGGTTCAAAGACAAAATGAAAAATAACCCCTTTTCTTAGGGTTTACATTTCAGAGGGGAATGCCCATAAGCAGAAGTAGAGGGAATCTGAGGTGGAAGAGAAATGCCACTGGTGGTGAAAGGGGAGTTGAAATTGGAAAAGAGAGACATCAAATTTCACAATTCACAGTTTTATTTTGGATTTTGACTTATTTTCATCGGTGCCTGGAAAAGTAGAACCTGTAGGCAAAGGTATTTACTATCCTGATTGACTTCACCTGGTTCAAATGTGCCTTTTCATTTTTATTCTTTAGGTCAAGGAGGCACTTGAGTGGAGGAAAAAAATAATTTTGGTGACGGGTTAGCTTTAGGGGGGTAGTGTTTAGCAAAAAGAACTGCAAATTTGGAGTCGGGAAATCTCAGTTTGAATCCCAGTCCTAATTCTTGCTATATGCAACTAGTGGGCAAGTTGCTTTTTTTTTTTTTAATCAAGAAAAGGGTTATGGCTGGATGCTTTCTACTTCTCTCATCTATCTCCAAGAAGCCTATCGGGCTAGATTTATCTCTATCTGCATCCTCAAATATTGCTGGTCCAGGAGTTTGAAAGGTTCTGAACAAAAACTGCTTCCCTGGTCACTCGTGAGGAGAACCCTCAGTTTATGTTCTCCAGCTTAGTTTATTCACATGAAACACTGATCCCTCAAAAGACCATCACAAATAGCAAGTTGCAGTAAATTCATTAATCCAAATAATCAGCAAACAGAAATTGGAGAAGTTATCCAAATACACAACAACAGATCACCTTTTCAGATGAGATCTCAGCTCAGACCAAGAGGTAGGACCCAATTTCATCCAAGGAGAAATTTTTTCTCTGAAGTCTCTAGGGAGCCAAGTTGGGAATCAGAGACATGTTGAGCACCTAGGTTCCCCTCCAAGCCTGCAGCTTCCAAAGTCTTTCTTTCTAGCTCCACAAATCTCTCCTGGAGAATCTCTTGAATGACGTGTCTCTCTCACGAGAATCTCTCACACCAGCTAACCCCTTCTGTAGGTATACAGCATTGTCTCAGTATTCTCCTCACCACTTAGGAGTAAGTTCTCCCTATAGAAACAGTGGCAAGAAAATGCCTTGGGCTTGATCTGAAGCCTGGTAACGTATATGTCATGAATAAGAGGGAAGAATCAAAGGTGACTCCATAGTTTCTAGCTGGAGGGCTCAAACGATCATGGAACGCATGACCAAATAGGGAATTTGGAAAGCAGAGACAGTTTCAGGGGAAAGATGATAATCTCATACACTTGTCTGTGGAATTTGAGATAATGGGCATTAGATATATCCAATAGGCATTTAGTAATTGAGGTCTGAAGTGTAGGTGAGAGGTCAGGGCTGGAAATAGGGATTTAGGAATCATTTAAATAGATAGTTGAGGCCATGGAAGTAGATGAGGTCTCAGAGGCACTGAGTAGAGAAGGAGAAAGGCATAGAACATAGGATAGGGTCTTGGGGCGCCCTGCAGTCAAGAAGCAGGAAGAGGTAACATACAGAGCAGAACACTGGCTCTGGAGTCACATATTACGAAAGAGACTTCAAACTTTTATTTTACAATCTCTTCCAGCTTGGCCTGTTTACCAAGAGAGTTCCCTGGAGACATTAGTAGACTGGAGTGTTGGAAATCAGATTGTTGTAGTCATTTCCAATTTTTAATAGGCTTGTGGCTTGTAGAAAATCTCTACTATTTATTTACTTGGAGTATTATTCATGTAAAGATGACATTGAAAAATACGGTGTTTTCCCTCTTTGTCACATTTGTCACTAATAATATTGTCTGTCACTAAAATAAAAAGTACTTAAAATCCTCCAGTAGCGAGGTGGCACAGTGGATAGAGTACTGGGCCTGGAGTCAGGAAGACTCATCTTCCTGGGTTCAAATCTGACCTCAGACATTTGCTAACTCTGTGAACCTGGGCAAGTCACTTCACCCTGTTTGCCTCAGTTTCCTCTTCTGTCAAATGACCTGGAGAAAGAAATGGCAATCCACTCCAGGATCTTTGCCAAGAAAACTCCAAATGGGGTCACAAAGAGTCAGACGTGACTGAACAACAACATTTAAAGCCCATTAATTTTTCACTGAAAATGATATTTTATTTGGCTTTTTCATTCCATTTATTGTAAGATACTGAACTATATAACTTATAGGGTTGGAGTGAGCTGAAACAACATTGCATTGCAAATCAGTTCATTCTCCACTCAGCTATCAAAGGGATCTTCCTAAAGTGCAGGGCTGACCATGTCACTCCCCTATTTAATAAACCACAGGGGCTCCCTGTTATCTCTATGATTAAATATAAACATCCTGTGTTTGACTTTTAAAACCCTTCATAACCTGGTCCCTTCCTATGTTTCCAATATTCTTATACCTTCCTCCCCTAGATATACTCTTCAATGACCCTGGCCTCTTGTTCCTTGGGCAAGATGCCCCATCTCCTGACTGGGCATTTTCCTGCCTATCTCCCACACCTGGCATTCTCCCCCTCTTCATCTCTGTCTCTTGGCTTCTCTGGGTTCCTTCAAGTCTCAGATAATGTCCTATCTTCTGCAAGAAGCCTTTCCTGATCCCTCTTAATTCTAGGGCCTTCTGCCTGAAATTATCACCAGCGTATCCTGGAAACATCTGAATTGTATGTAGTTTCTTGACTTGTTTGCATGGTGTCTTCTCCATTAGACTGTGATTTCCTTAAGGGCAAGGACCATTTTGTCTTTCTTTGCATCCTCCGTTCTCATCACTGTGTATGCCTGGCATATTGTTGTCATTGCTGTTTAGTTGTTTCCGTCATGTCTAATTCTTCATGACCCCGTTCGGGATTTTCTTGGCAGGGATCCTGGAGTGGTTTGTCATTTCCTTCTCTAGCTCATTTTGCAGATGAGGAAACTGAGGCAAACAGGGTCACCCAGCCAATACGTATCAGAAGCCGGATGTGAACTTAGGAAGATGGCTCTTCCTGATGCCAAGTCCAGTGCTTTATCCACTGTACCACCTAGCTGCCCTTCTAGCACATAGTAGGTGCTTAATAAATGCTGTTGACTTGTCTTGATCTTGGCCATGGTATCAAATAGCCTGTGAGACCTTAAAAAAGTCACTAAATCTCTGCAGGCCTTGGATTCCCCAAATGAAAAAAAGAGGACTCATGTGTAGTCAAGCTCCAATTCGTAATCTACAAGCACCTTACAATTTTACTTTTCACTTTAAGCAAATTCACTTTCTGCTTTCTCTGCTTTGGGGTTGTTCTGTTGGAATTGCATCATCAATATTGCAGAAGGATGCTTACTGGAAATCTTCCTTCATTCCTTCCCCTCTCCCATCCCCATTCCTGCCCCCAAGGGGTTTTGTGTTGAATAAAAACACAGAACCCTAGGCTGTCAAAACTAGCAGAAATCATCTAATCATAGGGTCAGAGATTTAAACTTGGAAAGATCTTTTGACATTAACTAGTTCATCTCATATTACAGACAGATGGGGAAACAGATCCTTGCCTTTAAGGTGAGTAACCAGGACCAGAATCCAGGTCTTCTAACTTCTAATGCAGTGCTCTTTCCATTAGACTGCTAATATTTCTACAGGTAGCTTATATTTCTAGAGCAATTTAAGGTTTACAAATTACAAATTTAAGGAATGTATAAAGTACATTCCTCGCAATAATTCTTTGGGGTAGGTAGTGCAAATGTTGTGATCCTCATTTTTTAGATAAGGAAACTGAGACTCAGAGGTTAAGTGACTTGTTGAGAATCACACAGCTGGTGTCTGAGGTAAGATTCAAACTCATGTCTCATGATCCCAAGGCCAGTGTTCTTTTTGCTGCCTCATATGTTCAATTGTGAGCTAATCTACTCTTTTCTTATTTTTATTGATCTTTTTTTATGCCACTTTTGTTTCTGAATATCTTTCTTCCCTTGCCCCTACCCTGACAAAATAGAGTGAAGGCTGGTTACAAAATGGAGTTCGTTTAGTGTGAGAATTGAGAGAACCAATCAGATTCCATCTCATGAACGCTGACTCCCTCTTGTGCTGCCACATGTATTATCCTCCATCTTGCTGTTTTTCTGAAAATCATTCGTGGGAAAATAAATGGCATAAACTATCTATTGTTTTGTAAAATGAAGGTAGATGCAATTAATCAGTATCTCCCAATTCTGGGAAAGGAAAGACCTCAAAACCCACTCGCCTTCTCCCAAATGACTGAGACTCACTCTTTCCCCCTGTCAGCATTCCTCCAATTAGAAATCAGATTACCTAATCTTGTATCCTGGTTTATATCCTATTAATTGTTTTCTTTTCATGCATAAAGATTTGTCTCCCCTTGTATTTGGGGTCCAGTGCCAGCCAGAGGAGGTCTGGTCCCAATTTGTCATGCAATTTCAATGAATTGCTAAATAAATCAATATGCTTAGAAGCTCAAACCTTTGTTTCCTTAGTCACTTCAGATTTCACCTGTCACCCCCAGAGAGCCATTGCTTGTAACAAAGATTAAAAAAAAAAGACAAAAGCAATTTGGCAAAACCAGCTGATGCAACAGCAATAAATGCAATGTTCCATACCCATAGTCCCTCACCTCTGCAAAGAAAGGAGGTACTTTTTCTCCTTTCTACTCTGGGACCAAGCTTGTTTGCTATAATTACACATTGTTCAGTTTCATCGAACCTACTTTAAAGCAAAACATCTAGTGTTTAAACAGTTAAATAGCTAGCATCTCTTTTGGCAAGCTTTCAAAAGAACTTAGATTACTGTTCCTGGACAACTGGACATAGTATCTTCTTTTCATCTCTCATCGTTTTGTGGTGGTGTAGCTGGTAATGCTTTCAGTTCACTGGGACGAGGCGTTTTAGTGCCAAGGAAATCTAGGCCAGAGTGTTTTCATCTTCCATATACCATGGCTCCTGTAAGAGTTCTCAGTTGCACTACGAGGGTCCTGCATTTTGGGTGAGGAGGAATTTCAGCGAGCGCGGTGCAGACTTAAACATTTGTGGAAAACTTAGCTATTAATCTCTTGTCAATCTTCTCTTCCTTGTTACTAACTTTGATTACACCAGATTATGTGCCATTTCGTTTTATAGCATTTTAATAAGCTCTCATTTTCCCCCCTCTGTTCCTCTCCAGCTGTGTGTGATGTGTATTTGCTTTAATTTGATTACACTTTGGTTGGGAGCTAGTATTACAATTTCATATGTGTATGTATGTTTCCTTGTGATTCTGAGAATATTGAATGAGCATGCACCTTCTGGGGAGAAGGAAGCCAAAATTCACATGCATTAATTAATTATTTGGGAGGATCTGTCCTGGGCAGTGTAGTAGGTAACCTGTAAATGGTGCTTTAGAAGTGTGAAAAGGTTAATGAATCTTCTTAAAGTGAGAGGTTTGCTTCAGATTCACTAGGAAGATTAGGTGCATGAATAGTTTTTTTTTAATACATTTTTTTTGGGAGGTTCGGTTCTGGATTTATGATTTCGTCTATATGGAGATCTATTGTAGAAACTTTTTTTTTTCTACTGATACAGATTCCTCTGTAACTTTAGTCTCAAAGATGTCTGGGGGAGTTGAGAAATTAAGTGACTTGTTCATGTTTACACAGCAAGGCAGAACTTGAATCCTGGTTTTTCTGACTCTAGCATAAGTCCACTGTTCACTATGCCATGTTACTGCTTTTAAAAATGGTATGAAATTTTTTAAACTGTATTTTCATCCTTTATTGAAATTTTTCCTTTTTAGAACTCTTATCTTGAACTTTTCATTTTCCCCCATTTTTTTTTCATTCTTATATTCACATACAAGCAAAACAAAGGTTCATTTATTACGTGGTTTCATTTTGAGCTGGTCTCTCCCCCTCCCCTGCTTAAAAAGAATGTTTTAACTGGTGGATAGTTAAGCAGTTATATTTGTATCTTCACTTTTCTCTCTTCGCTAGCTGCTCCCTTTTCCCCCAATCCCCATGTACTAAGTTGGTTATGGCTATAATGTATTTTGTTTTCAAGGTCATTTTCATATTTTACCTCTGATCAACTGCACAAATAATGTTCTTTTAGTCTCTGGAATGGGACTTGTCGAGTAAAGTATAACAAAGAAAACTACAATTTCTCTGAATTAGTAGCATTTACACTGGCTGAAGGGAACCACACACTCAGGAATCTGAAAATTGCCACATTTTACCAGACTTTTTTTTTCTGTCGTCAAAAACCTCAGAAGTGACATTTTGAGTACAGATTTGTTAGAAATATTTTAAAAATATTAGTGTTTTATCATAGTTATTTTTCTATAAATATATGATTTTAAGAGATTTGTTGGATTTTTACCTTGCAAAGATCCTAAACTCTCTATACCTTAGAGTTCCTATGGCTGAAAAAAATCATCTTTGGCCAAAGGCTGGTTGTTGTTGATGAGCCTCGCCAGACTTATTTAGATGGGTCTTGGGCTCATGGCCTTTTAGCCTGTTGTGGGGTTAGTGCTAGGTGGTACAGTAGATAGAGTAGCTGCACCTGGAATCAGGAAGACCTGACCTGAGTTCAAATGTGGCCCCAGATACTTACTAGCTGTGTGACCCCAGTTTGCCTCAGTTTTCTCATCTGTAAAATGAGCTGGTGAAGGAAGTGGCAAACCACGCCAGTATCTTTGCCCAAGAAAAGCCCGAATGAGGTCATGAAAGGTTGGGCGCGACTGAGCAGCAATCTAAAACATTCTCAGCCTGGTAGGACCTGCCAGAGTTTGTACTCAGGGTCAGGACCTGAATCCATTCGTAGGGGGGACCTATTGATGTGGAAGGCCCTTGTTCCAATGCATTTAGCGGCTCATTCATAATTGAAAGTCTTTAGAGAGACTTGCCAGGGGTCATTGAGAATTTAAGTGAACTTGCCCATCATGACACAGGCTGTATCAGAGACAGAACTTGAACACAGGTCTTTCTGACTCCAAGGCTAGTCTTCACTTGACTATGACACGCCGCCTCGTGGGGACCTTACATCACCAGTAAACAAATACACAATGTGAGTAATATTGCTCTTGCAGTCTGATCTGATGTCTAGAATGGTTATGTTTCCTAACCATGTAGCAGGTTGGCTACAACTCACATTTTAATGGATAGTTTGAAGCACAACTGGTTGTCTCCCCTCAAATGCACCAATCTTCATTAAAGGCAGCTGATTCTCAGCATCCTACTGTCATTGTTAGTGGAATTTTTAAGTTACTTGGTGAATTTTAGAGTAAAAATGATAACAATGGTAATAGTTAGTATTTACATAATACTTCAAAGTTTGCAAAGCACTTTACAACTATATCTCTTTATAACAGCCTTGGTAGTAGAAAGAGCACTGAACTTAGTAATGATGGGACTGTGCTTAGAACAAAATTACCTTAATTCCTATCTAGTTAGGTGACTTTGGATTCTGTGTGTCTCAACTTCCTAATCTGTAAAATGGGGATAATAAAATGTATACCCTCTCTACATGAATGTAAATGTACTTTATAAAGTAATAATAATAATAACAACTAGCATTTATGTGGTGCTTTGAAGGCTACAAAGTGTTTTACACGTATTATCTCATTTGTCTGAGACAGATAAAAGTGAAGTTAACTTGCTCAGGGTCGCACTGCTAGTAGGTCTCTAAGAGCACATTTAAACCCAAATCTTCCTCACTCCAGATCCAGAGCTCTATCCATTGCACCACCTAGCTGCTCAGTGAGAACCTGCTCAGGCTAACTCTGATATCAAATAGCTCTTAGTTCATTGGTATTACCTTTTTGTAACTAGGAAATGATAACTTTCCTTTACCTATATCTAGAGATGTGTTAAAGATGGATGAGATCATATTCACTTTGAACTCAGAAAAATATATGTTGTGTGTGTGTGTGTGTGTGTGTGAAGAAACATTAGGTTTGATGTTTCTGCTCTTTTCCTCTTGGCAGGCTTGGGGACCAGTTCTACAAGGAAGCGATTGAACATTGCCGTAGCTACAACTCGAGGCTGTGTGCAGAGCGGAGCGTGCGTCTACCCTTCCTTGACTCCCAGACTGGTGTGGCCCAGAACAACTGCTATATTTGGATGGAAAAGAGGCATCGGGGACCAGGTGGGCAGTGTGGGCTGTGGAAGGGGCACATACGTTTGTGTGTGCAGGTGTACACAATTGTAAGACCAAAGAGAAAGGGAAAGGGACTAAGGACAAAATGGCTTAAAGTATGTGTATGTGTATGTGTATGTGTATGTGTATGTGTATGTGTGTGTGTGTGTGTGTATGTGTGTGTGTGTATGTGTATGTGTGTGTATGTGTATGTATATGTGTGTGTATGTGTATGTATATGTGTGTGTGCACATGTGCATGTATGTGTGTGTGTGTGTGTGTTCATGGTATGTTCCCATGCACATACATATAGACTAAAGTGCCACACCACAGAAAGCTGTGATATAACAGAAAGAGCTCTCTTGATTTGAATTCAGGAGTACAGAGTTCAAGTTGTGGTTTCACTATTTACTAGTTGTATAACATTGGCTGTCAATTAGCCTTTCTGAGCCTCAGTTTCTCTAATGGAGATAATAATATTTGCCCTGGTCACCTCACAGGGTTCATAGGATCTAATGAGAACATATGCTTTGTAGAAATAATAGTGTAATCTAAGCTATATAAATGTAAAATTTAACTGCCTAAATAAAAAATGAAGAAGGAAAGCTAGAAAACAAATCATGTGAAAGAGACTTATGTAATATGGCAGCCAAAAAAAAATCTCCTTTTCCTCATGATCCTAGGTGTTGTTTGCACCTTTAAATTACTTTGTATTTACTCTGTCTGCATTGTGTATGTATTTATCTGTGTACATGTTGTTTTCTAGTGGTAGAATGTAAACTCCCTGAGGGTCAGGGCGGGGTTCCATTTTTTGATTTTGTAATCCCATTATCTACCACAGTACAGGCACATAAGAACTTTTCAATAAATGTTTATTGAATTGAATTGACCCTCCCCATCTTTTTTTGTACAGACCTGTAATTTAATTGGTGTAGAGGTATCCCAGGAGGAAATTCTCTCACTAATGAAGATCAGTGCTTGTTTTGCAACTTATAACAATAACAATAATTATAGAACATAAACATCAACAGTATTAATAGTAATATAATAATTAGCTATTCTATAGTTATTTAAGAATTGCAAAGCAACCCCCCCCCAAAACAAAAACAAACAAAAAAAGAATTACAAAGCAAATAACCTATGTTATCTCCTTTGTTCCTTCAATAATTCTAGGAGGTAGGTGCTATCATTATCCCTATTTTACAAATGGGGAAATTGAGGCTGAAAGAGGCTAAATGATATTCCTAATATTATATAGACAGTATGTGTCAGAGGCAGGCCTTGAATCCAGGTCTTTCTGACTCCAAGGCCAATGTCTACTGAACCACACTGCCTTTAGAATTGAATCCTTAGCCTGAATTAATTGATTAAAGGATGGTGTCCAAATGAACCTTTCCCTGGTCAGACCACATCTGGCATATTGTGTTCAGTTCTGGATACCACATTTTAGTAGGAACATTGACGACCCGGGCTATATTTAAGGGAGGGTGAACAGGATGTTGAGGTATATTCAAAACTGGGAGACATGAGGATCAATGGGAGGATAGGGTAATATTTGGCCTGAAAAAGAGAAAACTTAGCCAAGTCAACAAGCATTTATTAAGTGTTTACTATGTGCCAGACACTGTGCTAAGTGAAAATACAAATACAAGCAGAAAGACAGTCCCTGCCCTCAAGGAGCTTACATCCTATTGAGGGAAGACAACACATAAAAGGAAGCTGGAAAGTGGGGAAGGGGAAGGAAAAGAAGATACTTAGTGTGTGAGTATGTGTGCGCGTGAGTGTGTGTATGTGTGTGTGTATGTGTGTGGCAGGTGAAGGGAGTAGGGAATTGTAGCAAAAGTCTAGAAGAGTCAAGAGTGAAGCGTAAAGAGGAATGAAAACATGACTGGGTTGGACCTCCTCCTTAAAACAGAGGCTATAGGAAGAACCAGCCAATTATAGGGAGAGGCCACAGGGGCAGAGAGTACTTCCAAGGTGAGAAGTCCAGAGGTAAAGAGCTTCCAAGGTGAAGAGGTTTCTATGGCATTGTAGAGAAAGTCTAGAAACATCAAGAGTGCATCCTAGAGAGGAATGAAAACTTAGGGGAAACGTAATAGTCTTCAAATATTTGTGAAAGAGGGAATAGACATTCTGCTTGGCAGAACTAGAACCCAAGAGTGGAAACCTGAGGAAAGCAAATTTCAATTAGGGAAATCTTCCTAACAAAGCTGTACAAAGATGCAGATATTAGGTTCCCTGTCTCAGGAAATTTTCAGATGGAGGTTGGATGGCAAGTAGTCATGGATATCATAAATGGAATTTATGTTTTGGGTAAGGAACAGACTCTGAGGTCAATCTCAAATCTGAGATTTTGGTATTGTATTATTATTACTATCTTCATTATTGTTAACCTTAAGAAGCTCAATCAGTTCTGTATACTCTGTTATGTCATAGGTAGGGGGTTTCCATGAAGAAGCCTTAGGAAGAAGGTCCTGATTGTTCCCATCCTCTCCATTATGTTTTAGGTCTATTGTGAGGAAAGCATAGAGTAAACCTTAAACCACTATCTAAATGTTAGTTATTATTCATATATTGATTATGGGCTGTTAAAGATCCATTTTAGTTTTTAAGTATTTTTGTGATAATAACTTAATTGCAGGGATACGTATTTCTCCTTCATAAATAAGCTTGGGTCCATCACAGAAAAAAACAAAGAAGGGACCATGAACAGTCCCCTTGATTACTAGTTTTATTGGGAGGCTCTTCTATGGCCATGCTGATTGTGGACAGCCATGTTTCTCCCAAGGCAATGCTTTGTATTTTGGGTCTGTCATGCTTTGATAAGCTGTTGGGAGTGGCTAAGCCATGTGTTAGAAATATAGCCAGTGCCTGGCTTTGAGTGAGGTGAGGTCTGGTGAATCAGTGCATGAAGAGTTATGGAGGTGGGAAATGAATTGAACGGCTAATATCTGGGATCAGAGATCCTCAGCAGCGACATTCTTGGCACGTATAGCAATAAGCTACGTACTGTGGAATTCAATTCAACATGAATTTGTTGAGCTACTAGGTTGCTGACTTTTGCTCTTTTTTGTATTCCCAGTGCCTAGCACAGAGGAGGCACTTAATAAATGTTTATTAATCGTGATGATGATCTACTACATGCAAAGCTATGCAGATAACAAGGTGGAATGAAGCATTGTTCCCACCCTCAAGGAGCTTATAATCTGATAGGAGAAGTAAACAACGCAGCTTTGATAGAAGGCAGGATGTGATAAGAGCAAAGGTGAAGATCAGACCCAATACTACAAGTCAGCCTATCAATCAAAAACCCTCTAAGGAACTGTTTTTTCTGCTGGGGATATAAAAGTGAGAATCCCTGCTCTCAAGGATCTTGCATTCTACTGGATGGGAGCACGTGTTCACAGCCAGTTGTGTGGAGGATATATTAGAGCCAGGAGAGTTTGGAGGCAGGGAGATCAATTAGAAAGCTATTCTGACCGTCCAGGCAGGAGATGATGAGGGCCTGAACTATAAGACAGTGAATCTATGTGTGAAGAAAAGGGGACGTTGAGGTAGACTTGATGAGACTTGGAAGCTGAAGATACTGGGAAGGACTGAAAATGAAGACTCAAGGATGACTTTTAGGTTGTAAATCTGAGTGAATGGGAGAATGGTGGTTGCCCTTAACATAAATAGGATAGAAGGGTGCAGCCAAGATGATATAACAAAGGCAGGAACTCACCTGAACTCTCCCTACAAACAACTTTAAAATAGTGCCTCAAATTGAATTCTGTAGCAGAAGCAATAAAAGGTCAAGAAGAAACAATTTTCCAGCCTAAGACAATTTAGGAAGTCAGCAGGAAAGGTCTGTCTCACGGAGGTGGTACTGGGCCTGGAGCACAGTATAGCATAGGTCACACCCTGGTAATCCAGCAGCAGGCTCTAGAGGTGGCTGCATCAGCAGCAGCAGCTTTGGGAGCTCTCAGCCCACAGACAGTAAGGGGGATAGACAATTGGTTAAAGGAGATTAGAGGGGACCCTTTGCTGACACTAGGTGTAGGATCCTGTTGCATTGGCCATATATAGTTCTGGGTCATAGTCCCAAGGCAAAGAGGAGCACTGGCACATTAGCACTTGTGGCCACAGGAAAGCAGGGTCCCTAGTTACAGTACCAGGGTGAAGAAGAGTGCTTGTGACTACTACAAGGGAGTAGGGTCCCTGGTCTCAAGTCCAAGGCAGAAAAGAGCACTAGAACTTGTGGCTGCAGGAGAGAAAAAGCCTGAGTCACATTTCCAGGGACATAAGAAGCAATAACACTTGCAGCTGCAGCAGGCGAGCAGGAACCTTGGTCATAGTTCAAGGGTAGAAGGAGTGCTTGTGGTCATTTGCAGACTTGAGCAAATCTGAGAGAGCAGTGACCACACCTCTCCTTAGATCATACCACCTTGGAAGAACTGAAAACTTAAAGACACCCCCTCAACCCCCAGAACTAGCTCTGAAAACAGCAGCACTGAAAAGCTTAAACTTGAGACAGTGTCCCCTCCACCTTGGGAGCAGAGCCCAATTATAACATTAAGTTGAAAGTCAAGAAATAGGCTGAAAAAAATGAACAAACAGCAAAAAAAGAACCTGACCATAGAAAATTACTAAGGTGACAGAGAAGAGCAAGACACAAATTCAGAAGACAATGAAGTCAAAACAGCTACATGCAAAGCTTCAAAGAAAATGTGAATTGGATACAAGCCTAACAAGAATTATTGGAAGAGCTCAAAAGGATTTTAAAAATTAAATAAGAGAGTAGAGGAAAAATTGGGAAAAGAAATGAAAGTGATGCAAGAAAATTATGAAAAGAGAGTCAACAGCTTGGTAAAAGAGGAAGAAAAAAAACCCTGAAGAACGTAACACCTTAAAAACCAGAAATGACCAAATTGTAAAAGAGGTACAAAAATTCACTGAGGAGAATTCCTTAAAAAGAAGAATTGGTCAAATGGAAAAAAAAAGATGTATTAAAATCCAATTAAGGGAAG